CCTACCTTCATTAGGACTTTGAACCAAACTCTTTATTTGGCCACATTCACTTCTCAAATCTCAGCATCTTCATCCCATTGAGACTCCTTGTTATGCTAGGATTCGACTTTCCCATCAATCTATCTCATACTAGGACTCGGACGATCCTAACCGAGCGGCCCATAATAACTAGAATTCGCGATGATTCTAGAATCATCCTGCCAAGCTGAGAACAACTCCTAACTCAGCCCACACCTATATTTTGGGCCCAAACAGAGTCTCAGTCCAAAGACTATTAAATAAGGACCAGAAGATCCTTGATTCATGTAAATAATGATACAATCCATGTATATTTGTTGGAGAGTTTACATCTCAAAGTTTTGATGATTATTGCATGTCATTGGGCATTGATGTTGAACACCATGTTCCTCATGTCCATACCCAAAATGGTTTAGCAGAAGCATTTTTTACGCGGATGAAATTGATTACACGCGCTTTACTCATGAAAATGAAATTGCCATTTTCTACATATGGACATGCCATTTTACATGATGCAATATTAGTTCGGTTGAGACCTATTGCCAACCATTACTAATTCTCAGTACAACTTGTGTTTGGGCACCAGCTAAACATTAAACATTTACGAGTTTTGGTTGTGTTATCTATGTGCCCATTGCGCTGCCACAACGTACTAAAATGAGGTATGAATGCAAACTGGAAATTTATGTTGGATTTGATTCACTATTTATCATTCAATATTTGGAACCCTTGACTGGGGATATGTTTACTATGCAGTTTGCAGGTTGTTATTTTGATAAGACAGCTTTTTCCCGCCGTTAGGGGGAGAAAAGACCGTTCTAGAAGAACAACGAGAATAAAATATCATTCCAGAAGAATCACGAGAATTTTCATGGGATGTACCTACTTTGTCTTATTTTGATTCACGAAGCAATCAATGTAAAAGTGAAGTGAGAACAATTGTTCATCTTCAAAGTATCGCCAATCAAATGCCAGATGAATTTAATGATGCAACGAAAGTGATAAAGTCACATATACTAGCTGTAGATGTGCCTGCAAGAATTGATGTCCTTATTGGACAAAATAATGTGGCAGCAAATGATTTATCTGTTGCACGCCTAAAGCGTGGCAGACCCTCAGACTCAAAAGATTCAGTCATTCGAAAGAAAAAGAATATGGACACTACTAAACTATTGCATTCTTGAAGCATAACTGTTGCATGCCGAAAGCATGACAGTTGCCACATGGATACATGTCCTAGAAAGGACAATCCGCAGACATGGGAATGTTGATGTCTCATGCATTAAGCATGATAGACGTATAGGTTCCAATGACTCAACTCCCGAAAGTGGAGATTAAAATCCAAGCTCTATAACGCTCAAGAGGAGGTTATGATCCGCATTCTCTAAACTATGACTATCCTAGAAGAGATAGTGTAATTCCATTAAAGAGTGCAATGGATATCCAAAGAAATGAAAAGCTTTTTATGCATGCGCATGCACATGAGAATATGAGATTACGGATTGATGATAACAAATGGTAATTTTGATTTTTACAAGTAGCTACTAAATTCGTCAATGAGCTATGTTGACATTGAGTCCCATTCTTTTTTTCGTCGACGAAAGGAAAAATTATTGGCCAAAAATGGAGAAAGGCAATTCCATAACAATTTTGTAAGAACGTGGAAAAATAGACCTATATATTTGTATATAATACAAATAGCCAAAAGATGTTGAACCAATGAGGTTACATATGGGCATTTGTAATACAGTGAAATCCACCCACATGATATGACACATGGTTACTATTTGAAACTTGAAATTGTACTCCTGTAAATGAGTTCATATGAATGGAAAACTATATACGAAGGGTTGTGAGATGCCTACATCATATCTCCATAAGTAAATTCCCTCAAGTATATATGGGAGCAAATTGCTTTGTACAAATTCCAAAGGAGAATGTGTCATGAAGTGTAGAAAATCCTGAAGGATTCAAATTGCTTGAAGTAAGCCTCGGATGGGTAGAACATAAATTATGTCCTCAATACCAATGGATGGTATAAATTGCCGTAGTGAGTACTTTCATTATGTTATTGTTGCAACATACTAAAATCTTTTGCAAGAGTTGATGATATTAGATTGGAACTCCTGAAAAGTCTAGAAAGATTATAAAGTGTTGAAAGAAATATTGTCACGAGCTGCAGATCGAACAATATGCCAACACGAATCTTATCCATGTTGTTTATGATATTAAAGAACCATATGGATTGAAGATTATGAGTTGAATACTCAAATGATTAACCAATATTTAGACACCAAGAAGGGTCATTTATCTTCGTGAGGGAAACGATAAATTGATATTTGGTCCAGAAGTACCACATCTTAGTGAAGTATATGCTTTATTATATTTAGCATAACACTATTCCTATCTGTTAAAAGGTTCATTGATTTATATTCTTAGAACTAGAATATTTCATCGTTTCCTCATTTATTTATTGATTATGAAACCAGAAGTTTCCATTTTCCAAGGGTTTTTATATCTAACAAGTTGGAACAAAAGTTTTCAGGCATAAGGGAGGAAATTTTTGTACATACATTACTTGGAAGAACCCTAGAAGGAGGAGGCACTTGAGATAGATCATGTGAAGCCTCAAGTACTTGGCAGAACCCCAGAAGGGGGAGGCATTAGAGATTGATCATGTGACACCTCAGTACTTGGCGGAACTCCAGGAAGAAGAGGCACTAGAGGTTGATTATTTGGAGCCTCAATACTTGGTAAAACTCTAGACGATGAAGGTAATTAGTGCCTTTGGAATAAAGCCACAAACCTCTGATGGTCACTTGAATCCAACTTTCGGATTCATGCAGTTGGTTAAGCTTTCTTTTCATACTCGTTGAGTAATTATTTGCAAGCATGTGCAACTCTCTATTTTTGTGCTTGAGCCCTATGATCTCTTGTCTAAGACTTGCCATCTTAGCCATTAATGATTTGACTTGGCGAGTTTGAGCAAGTAGATGTTGGCCCATATTGGATATAAAGCTCGCACACTGAACACTAAAAGCCAAAGAGTCCTAAACAGCCAATTAATTGGACCTGTTTAGAAAGTATCTTGTTATCCTTAGGAGTTAGAAGATTCCTAACTACCATTATAGTGGTTATGTCATTCTTCATCATAGAGTCCCCAACTGTAAGAGGACCATTAGAAGATAAGAAGGATAAGTGACATATATTGTCTTGAGGAGACATGTTTGCATCTTCCATAACATTCAAATTGAAACAAAGGTCAGATGGGCAAGCCATTTTCAGAAATGATAAAGGAAAATGAGGTCAGATAAATTGAAATATCAAAAATGCAAAAAGGGGAAATTTCTACAAGTAGCAACTTTCCAAGCATAAATTTTGAACATAATTGATGCATCTATAAAGAAGAGGCAACATGGCCACTTGTTCAAAAATTGAAGAGGTACCGCTCTCCGAATTTCAAAAGCCAGATTTCCTGAATAAAGTTCATTGACACTTTTTAGACGCAATATCTGCTTTTCGAATATCACGGGCAACTTTATCAAAGATCTCTGACAAAGTCAAAACGCGTGAATTTTACAGTTCCAATTACACCACTGTTGCCGACAAGCGTAAAGGAATAGCACCACTACTTGCTTAAATCCCTATATATGTCAACTTCCATCCTTTATAGCAAGGCAGACCTGTAAGAATGCCTAACTCCTCATCCTCTCTAAGAGTGCATTTTCAACGAAGCATCTCAAAATACTCAGTTTTTTTCCTATCCGAGAATACCTTTTCAACCAAGTCACTCAAAATGCTCAACTCATTTCCTCAACAAGAAAATAGTTTTTATCGAGAAGTTTTGCATCAATGTCAAAACCTTCTACTGTTTTCTTCAAGAGCAAAAGTATCTCATATCATCAAGATCGAAAGCAAAAGTATCTCATATCATACTTTTTTCCTGTCTTTTCTTTGCCCTTACTCTTACATGCAAGACAAGGAGAAAGAAAACAATCAATCAGAACCTGAAATCAAACTTCCAATTAGGAACCTACTACCTGGGACATTTCCCTGATTGCTTATCTTGCATTGCTCTTAAGTAGTCATCTTTAACTGTTGTTAGATCTCAGATTTCCTCAGCAAATACCTTAGAACAGATGATATGATGTTGACTCTTTACACTGAAGATGCCAAGCATGGATGAGTAGCTGATAATCGATGTTTTGAAGGATCATTCAAAGGCAAAGGTTGAGCACCACTTCTACTATGCAAGAGACCGAAGCAGAAGGATCAATGATGAGCCCACAAAAGTTCAAGTGTTACATTGACATGGCTCAACCTAAAGAATTTGAAGTCAAGGGGAGATATTCATCAGGGGAAGCATCCAAAACAGATTAAGATCTTAACGAGGCAACCGTTGTTTACATATGGTCATCCTAGGAGGAATGTTGTAAAAATGCAGGGTAAATAAGGATGTTCACTATGTAGTAGGTAAAGGCTTAATGGGTGTAGTAGGTAAAGGCTTAATGGGTGTAGTAGGTGAAGACATTAAATGAGTGTGGTAGGTTTTGATTTAACATCTTGTCTATCCATTTGCCTATATAAGGAAGACCAAAGTGTAAGAACAGAAAATAACATCAATGAGAGGAAGAAGAGAGGAAGCATAGAATAAAGAGAGTTATCTTTATACTCATATTACTTTAGACTCTCAATGAAAGCACCACTGATACTACAATGATGTATTCCAATTACACTAATTGTAGAGGAATCTCATAAATATTATGTCTTATTTCATTTATTCTACTGCACACATACTGTCGATTTTATAACAAATAGAGTACTACTTGTACTTGGTACTGATCAGGCAATATCCAATTTGCTAACCCAATAATATTTGAAGACATGTATTTTTAACAAAAAAAAAAAAAAAAAATGTTTGATTAAATAATTTAAATGGCTCAAAGGGAAATATGAAAAGATGAAGGGCTTCAAAAAGTGAATTACAAGAGGGGTAAGTGTGAATGAACTTAATTGAGGGAGACAGACACACAGAATAGAACTAGAAACAGCAATGGCGTCGGGAGCGTCAACACCGCCGTATCCAAGCGCTGCTAGAATCTCCGATTCTCAGTGTTATCCTCAGTACACCGCCTCTTTAAAGTGTATACTACTTCCAACCCTTCGTTGTTTTCTTCCGTTTTCCTCTCAAATTTAACCTTTTTGTTAACTTTTCTTGATTACCCCCAATTATTATCAGTTAACTTTGTTTTAAACTCCAATTATCCTCAAATGAAATAATAATTGGGATGGGGTTGTTAATTAAAGCTTAATTTTGAGTTTTGAGGCTAAAATTTGTTTATGGTATCCGATTTGCTAGTTAGGGTTTGTGAAGTTTTGCGGAGTTTGTTTCAAAAGTTAATATTTTTATTTGTGACAGTAAATCTGGGTTTAGTTTGCAATTCATGTAGAAAGGTGCTGCATAAAATTTAACACTTGAAAGGTTATTTTGGCCAGACACTTAAATTTCTATTGGTGGAAAATTGTATAAAGGTGTTAGAATTATGAATATTTTATAAATTTGAGAGCACAGAAATACCCATGATTAGTTTAGATGAATTATCTATATTATATATATCTTATCCCAGTTTGCATATGCATTTTTAAGAACTGCATTGCTTGACAAGTATAGTGGTGAATCATTTGGTTTGTACAACTGCCGAAGTGGAGAAAATTCTTAAATTCGGTGTGCCCACTGGGTTAAGTGGAACCGTAAAATTTTGCCACCATATTGTTTGAAACGCTGTTTCAAACTGGATTGATGGTTAAATTGGAGAATTTAGGAATGAAGATTACGGTCGATAGTTAAGTTGATGTGGTTTTCCAGTAAGCTCTTCTAATTGCATCCCATCCACTCTGGTATTCTGGTCTCTCTGTAAGGTTATTCTTAATGTTGATAGTTGCTAGCTAAGGGCTGTTATTAGAGTTGGCTCATCGTACCAACTGACATGATGTCTCATTCTCGAGCTTATATTTTGTGTACCAGTATTAGCCTTTTGGCCAGGCATTTCGAAGACCAACTTGATTAACAAATTTTCCGCAGGATTTTTCATCCATGCGGTATTTAACTTATGTTTTATTGGACACCATAGAAGCATACATTATTAACTACTTTTGGATTAAGATAGTTTTCTTCTCTTAATCCTCCACGCGGTATTTAACTTATGTTTTGTCGATTACATTTTGTTGTCTTTTAAGTTATCCATCTTCTCTGTTTTTTGACATTTTTTTTTATTTCCCTCTAGTTGATTTCTTTCTTGGTTAGTTTTGATGTCTAGGTCCAATATCCTTCTCCTTTATCCTGTGGTAGTACTGAAGGGTATGTGTTGATATATGCACACCAAATTCCCATTTTATTTTATCAGATAATGATGGAGAGAGCTACACTTCTTAGTTTTTAGCTGGTAGCTGTACACAGATGTGCACTTAAGTCTTAAGGACACATATTGGGATGGAAAGATGTTAGTGAGGGTTGGAACCAGTTTATTAATTATGTTGTTCATGAGTTTTACTTAGTTTTGCACACTCAAAATAAAGCTCAATTATTTGAAGTATTCATTTCTTTTGTAAACTTTGCAGGTCTGGAAGAAAATAACTCGGAGAAGATCAAATGCCAAGAACATTTTGATATTTACAAAGAGTGCAAGAAAAAGGAGGTATTGATGCTTTTAGATACTTAATTCCTCTGTAGTCTATTGTTTATTATACTTCGGAATTAAAGACTGGACATCCTATCTCAATGCTTGAATTGTTAAATAATTGTTTTCCATCATGCCTATGAGGTTCTTTGTGACAAGAAATAAATCTAATTGGTTATTATATATTTCAATAATCTTATTGTTTGCCAACATACTCACCAACATTCTGAAGACAGAAGGCATCATCTGTTTATGTTGGTACACTGCTTGTTTCTTATATGGTTTACGTTTTTTTGTTGCAACAGAGGTTAGCTCGATTGGAGCGCAACAAGACTAGGTCACTTTTCTCTTGAAACTCTTTTTGGGATCTTCCGCTCGTATCATAAGGCACAAAAGTTATTTTTGAGCTCATTAGGAGTGGCATTAGATTTATAGAGTGCTATACTTGATACTGAGACAATAATAGAACTGGCTCAATTCTTTGTTATTTAGAAGCTCAGAATTTGCTTTTCATTTGTGACGAGTGATTTAGATTGTCTGCAAACAATGTTAGACATGGTTTTCACTTCCAAGTCTGGACAGTTGGTGTTTATTGTGTAGTATGTATCTCATCTTCATTGCAGAGTTTTCACAAGAAAAGAAATAAAAAAAACAGCTTGATCATTGTAGCCAAATCTGATTTGTGAATTCGCGTGTATATTTGTTCGGCCACGCGTTCCATGTTTCATCGAGTAGCTTACCTGTGTAGTATTCCCTGCTGTACGGGGTTCATGTTCGGGCAATAATTGACGGAATCAATGGTTTGAATTCTTAGTATAGTAGCATAAACATTTTTACAGGCTGCCATGATAACTTTTTTCTATATATACACAGTTATATATAGGGTAACGTTGTCTTTCCGGCTATTTGATATTTGACATTATAGTGAGAAAATTTCTTATATGTTGTGCAGATTAGTGCCTTTTGAAGTTTTACATTCTAATAAAACCGCTATCATTTCACCTCAATAAAGAAAAACAGAATAGTGCGTCCCGATATTTGCTAGTAATGGATGGTAATTTATGCAAACCTTTATAATCATGGAGAAGCATGAGTTGGACACAAGAAATCCAGCATATGGAACATTATTTTCAGACACAGAAGACATCCAACATATGAGCCCTAAAGCTTCTCAAACTTCAGAAAGTCACACTCACGTTGCGTGGAGAATTATGCCATGCTCAGGCTCAACAACCTGGTATAAACTGGCGAATGCCGGTATGTTGGCGACAGGGAGAAACTGAACTTTGACAGAATCCAAGCAAGCATCACCTTAAGTTCTGTCGTCGCCAAGTGTCGGCCAACACAGATACGAGGACCATTTCCAAATGGCATGTAAGCTTGTGGAGACTGGCAAGCCGCCAGAATTCCATTGGCAAATCTTTCTGGGTTGAACTTATGTGCGTTCGGCCCCCATAAATCTGGGTTCTGGTGTAAAAAGGGGACTCGTATTTGAAGTTGCACCCCCTTTGGAATCACAATGTTTTTGAGTGTGACAGTTTCAAGGGCCTCTCTTGTTACAAAGAATGCCGGTGCATAAAGACGCAGTACCTCCTTAATCACCATTTTTAGCTGCACAAAAATGCAAGACGGTAAGGCTCTCACTTCCTTGTGTATTTTGGAATGCACTATCTGTTTGGTGACATACCACTTTCATTTTTCGAAGCGTCTCATTGTTTAGCGGTTTATCTCCGCAGATTTCAAGCACCTCAGCACGAACACGAGCTTGCCAATCTGGATGTGCAGCTAGTAACATCAAGCTCCATGACGCAGTACTGGCAATGGTCTCATGGCCAGCAAAGAAAAAAAGTCGTGCAGTTATCAACAATGAACTTATTGTGTGATAGGCCATTGTAATCAGCAGAACTTTTGGCGCCCTCTGGAATCATTTGCAGCAAATCTTTCTCATCCAAATCTTTCTCATTCAAATCTTTCTCTAACTCCGTCCCTGCTTGAGGTCTTTGGTTTGAATCTCCCCTCCACCATAAAAAAAAAATGATGTCCAGCATTTTGATAGTTTAAAATATACCTTTACCTTATCAAGGTATAGCTCGAGAGCAATGATTTTCCCTTGATGTGCCCAAATTATGCCATTCGATGATAAAAGGCCCTGCCAGAAAAGTGGCCCCCCGACCGTCGAAGTTAATGAAGACTTGCCTAAGTTTAAGGACTTGCAGAAGCCGATTTCCTTCAGCACTTCTACATCTGTTATGCATAATTGCTGTTTGCGTGCGAGTCCACACACATATATTTGCCCTGCAACAAACACCTTACACTAAATCAGTATCTTTGACGCCGAAGGAAATGAAATGGAGCCCAATAGTTCCTTCCTGACACCAAGTTTGAACAATTATTGTTTTTATCAATATATGTTTCTTAAAGTTTAATCATGAACAACAATTGCAATGAATATTTGAGTTGTTTGTGTGATACTTTTTCTTTCCTGATGAAGCATCATCTTAACAAGGAATAAGCAAATTAAGCCAACTAGCTCTTCGTCCAGAAAGATTTCTCGTTTCAATGTTAAAAAGTAGGTTAGATAAGCAACAGAGCGCTTACCGTATTCGTTTCACCACTGCTCTATTTAGGGGAAGAGTTTTGAGGGCCATTCATGGGAAATACAAGAAGCGACATCAACATCACAACTAGTACTTGTTTCTGTCGACGACTGGGTCTTGTGTTGGATGAGGCTCTTTCTCATTGCAGGGAGGTTTCCCAAGAGAAATGAAGGAGGAGGCCCTTCAATTCCTTGCTTTTGGAGCTTTGACCTTAGCCGTTTAGGCCTCAAAACTACAAGTTCAAAAAGATGTAGGAGCCATACCAAAAACCCACCTAGATATACTGAGTACAATATCAACTTATTTGCTGCTACCGCAGCAGCTACCTCATCTCCCGCCATTTGATATGTGGGAGTAGGGGTGGGTTTGAAAAACCTAAAACCGAAAAAAATCGGACCGAAAACCAAACCAAATCGAAACGAATCTGGTTGGTTCAGTTTGGGTTTTTGAGGTCCGAAAACCGAACTAGATTGAACCTAACCAATATATATTTAATTATTTTTTATAATTTTTAATTATAAAAATTATAGAATTTCTCAAAATTCTCCGAAATTCGGTTGGCATGAGGGTTCGAACCCCTCGAGCTCAAAAAGCTTCGCTCAACCCAACTTGGCAACATTTTTTGTTTAGTTATGATTGTACAACTAAACTATTTATAAAGATTGAAAGCCTTAGCCAATAGGGATGCAACTTGGGGTGGGCCAACCCGAACCTGCCCATGTTCAACCGGATTTTAAACCCGAACAAGTGGGTTTTTTTTAGTTATAACCCATCCGAACCCAATCCGATTTCAACACGCTCATTGATTGGGTTGGGTTAGGTTGATCATTTGTCCAACCCGACCCAACCCGATTAACCAAACCCAATTGGGTTGAGCTATGCAACATGCTTCTCAATGACCCTTGCACCTTTGTGGAGGATTCACTAGTGACTTTTGATGGATTATGATAAAAAAGTGCATGGAGTTGCAGAAAGCAATTGTTTTTCTGGCAGCCACACTTTGATTTTTCTGCAGGAGCTTCGAAGGACAAGACTTGAGTTGGGTACTAGCTTTGGACAATGAAGTGTTCCTCTTTTTTTTTTTTTTTTTTTTCGGTACTAACTTTGGTATTTCTTGTATTTTAATTCAAAATTTGCACGTGATGTGATATATAATAGCACACAAATTAAAACCTTATGATTGTAGTATATGAAAGTAGGGATCATTTTAAGCCGAGGATTAGAAGGGATGCTAATCCACTCAATTTAGACTTAATTACACTTAAGTAGACTCAAAAACAGAAAACTAAACTTGTATGACTCAAAACACACAAACTAAGTAAAATTGACTCAAAACAGGTCCTAGAAAGTGATTTGGACGGAAATTGAACTAAAAAGACTCAAAAGACTCAATATGGATATATTCTGACAAATTGAAACAAAACTAACACAAATAAAAACCAAAGGGTTATTTGGACGAATTTTGACCTTAACTTAACTCTAAACACTAATAGAACTAAACTTAAACAGATTCTAACTAAGTTAAAATACTAAATATTAAAGGGGGATTGATTTTGACGAAATTAACTAAACTAGGCAGATTGTAAAACTAAACAGGTTAAACACTAAATTGGTTGAATTAAAGGTGAAAGGCTAGTTAGAGGGTCCTTCTCCACACATGACATATGCATACAAACCAATTTCCAGTTATTATTCCTTTAGACTATGAATGACAACGTCCCAAGTTAATTGCATCGCACAACCAACCATCACATTTTCCTTATTTCATTGAATTGAATGAATACGCATTACAATGAAATTATCTTTCTCAGGTTCACTATATGAAACACATAATAAAGATCCATATCAAAAGTCATCAAGTTTTATGAAAATCATAAGCATTGACAAGGCATTCATCACTATGAAACGCATGAGACTCCTACCAAGGATTCACTTAACACAATCATGACTAGTGACTTCCACTACTTGTGAATATAAAAAAATAACTATTACGTGAAACTCCCTTATATTCTAGCATCAAATTCATGCATGCAAACCAAGTATCGATCCTCAGTCAACATACATAAACAAGTTTTAATAACTCAGATAAGCAAATCACATTCAAGACTCAAGAAATAATAACTAGATGTAATTAATTCATATAAAACATATAATTATGGCTTCGAATTCACCTCCAACCATAAAGAAATTAGTTCCTCATGTTCGCAAAACAAAGATAATTAAACTAAAACATTGAAAACAAAGATAGAATACACCTAGAAACACTCCAGGTGGCTCCTCCTTCCTTCTTTGCTGCGGCACAATGGGGATTTTCTGAATTTAGGCTCTTGAGGTGTGGTGGATGGTGTGGTATGAAATTGTGGTAGAGGGTGGTGCTTATGAGTGCTGCGGCATAATGTATTTATAGGGTGAAGGGAAGGCACAAAATTGGGCTAAAAATGAGAGGAATTAGGACTCCAAATCACCAAAGAACAATGACACTTTCAATCAGATTCCAGGGAGGACAAGGAATGGTTCTTGTGGCAGATTCTAGAACTTCTAAAAGGGTTACATGTGGCATAAACTTAGGGCACGAAAATAGCGCTTCTAGAAACTGATATTTAGGTGATTTAATGTGAAAAGGAGTCCTCTTTGTAGCTAGAATTAAGGTAGTGAAAGATTAGGATAGGATAAGATAGGATAAGGTTTGGGTAAGATAAGATAAGATTGGATAATGTTCCATGTTTCTTGCTCTTTCCTTATCTACTTTGTCTTGAACTTGTTTCTCCAGATTTGTAGCATGTTCCTAGCCTTTTTTGACTTCAAATTCGTCCATCCACCTTACTCCATATGCAAGCTATCCATTCATGCCCAAAACTACTCCAAATGGCTCCAAAATGCACTTTCTTGCCAACTTTGCCATTAGGACCTACAAACACACGAAAATAGCTTAAAACACTATAATAAATGAAAACTAACTATGTAAATGCAAGAAAACAAGCTAACTAAGTCACATAAATATGCTCCTATTAAATTCCCCCATACTTAGCTTTTGCTAGTCCTCGAGCAAAGCAAAACAACAAAACATAACCTAGACCTTCCAACAATTGCCTCAGGGATTTCTAATGCAACATGACATGTTAAAAATCACTACTCCCATAAATTTTAGTTATCCCTACCCTTGAGCATATACTTAACCATAGTAACCACTCACTAGCTCGCATTTAATCAATTAAAACAACATTTGAATGTAGTAACATGCTTTAGAGAAATTCCCTCAATTCCTCACCGGATATACTCTCTATTTTCACACAGATTTTTTGACTACACTCCCTACACTAGGTATATGTGAGAAGATTGATATAAACATGTAGACTAGCACTCACATATGTATAATCAAAGAAGGCACTTTCTGGAATTATTAACATGTATATGATCTTATGAATGAAATGCCACTACTTAGACGCGAGAACCAGGGATACCATATGCTTGTACCAATTTTAAACTCCACATATTGAAACACATAACAATCAAGATCGAAGTCTAAGGGTTGTAACGGGGCTAAGGTATTGGCTAACAAAGAAATGTAAGGATAAACAAAAGTTCTTAAAGCAATAGTAAGCAAAGTAATGAAATAAAACTTAGAATTCATTTTTGAACGCAGAAATCAACTCTAAACATGAAGGAAAAATTCACACATCAAATAGGGCCAGATTCAAACTTTTGGACCTTTTCTTCAACAACCAATACTTGTGTGTTCATTCTCACTTATTTTCCACTATTTTTCTTTCTTTTTTCACTTTTTTTTTTCTTTCGTGCCCTTTTCTTTTTTCTTTGGCACACTAAACTTACATCCCCATAGGTTTCCAAAGAAACACCTTCCCCCACACTTATTTTTCTGCAAATTGTAGATCAAAAGGAATTCCCTCTAAGTCATGCTTCACTATCCTTTAAGAACAAGGGTATGGATAGTCTTATTCTAGGCTAGGTAAGGATAATGTGGGCTAACAAAGAAAATTAGGCTAACTAAGGCTCAAAGGGGTTAAACGTACAATACACATGCAAAGGGTAAGGCTTTTTGGCTCTGGTTTTAACTAAATAACTTCATCTTGTTATATGTTATGCACTCAATTTTATGCTTTGAATGAAATGGGCATGAGTTCTAGTATTTGAAACTATAGTTATGAAATGCATTCTAAGTAGCAACCAAGCAAAGAAATAATGAGATCATGCAATGACTTTAGAAAACAAGAATTCACAGATTAATAACTCTCCAAATAAAGTTTAGGCTTAAGTCTCTCAGGGTTGTAGCGTTAGTTTGAATTCCTTCCTTCAATCATGTTACAAAAACTGATTTTTTTTCTTTTTGTGATTTCATGTGAATTCGTTAATGACAACTACAACTAAGCATAAACCAAAGAGCATATCAAACTTCCACCCATGTTTGTAACTTTCTTTAACAGTCATGCAATTAAAAACCAAATCCTCATCATTATGTTGGAAGGTACCCTAAGACACAAACAAACATAAAAACAAAAACGACTCTAAAAACGACCCTTTTTGGGTTTTTCAAACATTCTCGAATATTTTTTTCAAATTTTCGTATTTTCTGTTTAAGACACATAAAAACACTTCAAAACACACTAAAAACACTTAAAAACAGTGAGTAACAACTTTAGAAGTGATAGGTGATAAAATCCCACGAAAATCATGCAAAAACAACTTGTTTACCCTCCCACACTTAAATCAAACATTGTCCTCAATGTTTCAAACATAGACTCACACGCAAACAATCAAACAACGTAACTAAAAAACATGACAATCATGGCAAAGTAAAAGCAATAAAGCGTAGGGTTTAGGAACGCAGATTTGACTGTGGAGCTGGAGATTGCTAGGTCTTCTTTATTTGAATGCATGGGTTGCCTCCCAAGAAGCATTTGCTTTAACGTTTTCCAGCCGGACGATACCTCCTTTTAAGCTCCCCTAGATCCCATGGCATGGAATTGATCTTTGAATGGGAGGTGATACTTGAGATGATCCGGTAATGGTTTAAATTCTAGAGTGGGTGCCTGAATCATTAACAACATATTAGTATAAAACAAAATTGAAATTCGAGGAAGTGGCTTACCTGTGTGCTCCGACATGAACTCAAGAATAAACACCCATTCGAAAGTTGTAGGACTAGAAAATTCAGCCAGATTTGGTGTTTTGAGAGTTATGACTTGTCCCGTGTCATAAAATTCAACTTCTTTGGGAATTGTTGTCTCAAGTATATCCTCTTTGATGAATTCTAGACATTCCCCAGCCACATCTTGCTCTTGATTCTTTGGAAAGGTTTCGAAGATGCCTTTCTCACCCTTTT